TTTATCACCAACAAAGAATATTCTATGTATTTCAAATTATTGTAACGTTTATAATTGTTTTTCCGATATATTAAAAATGTGACTTAAATGTTAAAATATTACGCAGTTGCACAATAATCTAGAAAACTCTTAGGAATACGCGTCTCGTTCTTAGACAAAGAAATCTTGATTTACACAGTTTTTTCTATTGCTGGTATGCAATAAGTGTAAAATAATAATGAATAGTTATTATTTTTGTAAACTGCTTTAAGTTAAGGGAAAACATTAGCAATTTTTTCAAGCATGTTCAACGGCATGATCACACAACACGCGTTCTTCAAAAGTAAGTTATTTAAATATATCTATATTCGTACCTCTAACTCCAGCTTCTTCTTCCATGATATTCTATATTTTAATATTGATCTTCTAGTATCTATAAAATGAAAACACGTGTAATAAATTAATAAACGTCGCTTTGAGGTTGATATAATGGTCGAACAGCTGTTGAGACGCCGCGAATTGTCAATTTGAATCCGAAGCGTACCGCGTATCAGTGAGAAAATTCGAGCTATGGCAACACTAAAATCCGTTACAACTTTTTGTATCGAAAAGATCATAGGCAAGTATATTTTTTTCTTTAAGCCTTCCCTCTTCATAACCACACTAAAGTGATATCATTAATTATATATTTTTAGAACAATCTTACTAACCAAGTAGATATACCGTAAGCTTCCTCTGCTGAAACACTGTATAAAGCATAATATTATTTATCTGTTTATAGGATCGCCAGCGGCAAGCCTATGCTAGCTAGACTATACTTATTAAACTCTTTGGTCTAAGCTAGGTTTGGGGTAGCTACCATTAATATGGTCTTGTTCGAAAGTACTTTTTATAACTATTTTGCATTTACTCTCATTTTTGACGCCCATGTATTTCACTATTTTATGTTTATTCTATCTTGGTATTCTAATTGAAAAATTGACTAGTAGCTGCGACCCAGTACGTACTCTTGGCACAACAGAAGTCGAGGATAAACAAGTGTCCACAGAATTAGAACATTAGGGTCATAATCACAACCTTGCAGGCACGAAACATCAAAAATACACACCTTCACTCGTTTTGTTTTAAACGTAGCTTAAGTAAAGTTAATTAACCTTCAGTTATGTACATGTTTCAAAGTGACGACAGTTAGTCTGGGGAGCTTCCTTAATTAATGCCCTTAGCAGCCTTTTACTGCGTCTTAATGCTATAAGGCATTGTACATTACGGCACATTTAGCTCTTATTAGAACACTTTAACGCAAAGAAGTTTATTAGCTACGCTTATAATTTCATTTCATGCGACATTAAACTCACTTAAGTATATTTTACATGTATTAGTATACAACCAACATTGACGTACAATATATACATATTGACGTGCATTCGTTGTAGTAGGTACACATAGAATCTATAGGTACTTGCTTCTTCCATGCTATAGAACAGTTAGTGAACCAGTAGCACGGATGTCTTTGTTGGCACGCGACACAAAAATTTACGTAGATATTATATAAGGATTAACCAGGAGAGATTCTTACGCTACGAAATTTTCACAATAACAAATTCCAATAATTTGATGGCATATCTATTCATCAATAAATATTATTTCTTTAGAGAAATGACACGTTGGTACGTAAAGGTTCGCAACCCCTGCCATAGAAGAACACATGTCGTTATACATTTTCCATTAATTTTCCATGGTCAACTAATCACCTAAATGACTTCAAAAGGCATAAAAAATGTTAGCAGTCATATATATCATATTGACAACGTGTTTCCACTGTTATGTAAATCCTGAATATGTACATTTCACTTTTACATTTTTGTACTTGGATTGAAACGTTTCTGACAAAGAAATGTACCTAAACTTTTAAGCAATGAATATTCACTCGTCTAATATTCTCTCAAATTGCTTGAGCTAGGCAAGCCTAAATATCCCATTAGGTTTGTGGTAGTTAAAATATTTCTATTCCCAAGTAGTTAATTAACATTGAATGGTTAAAGTTATGTATTCGTGTCTTTTAAGATACATCATTTTTGCTTAGACTTTTAAGTTTTATACGACCAAATTAATCTATAGTAAAGTTCTGTTCTAGTGCTGCCCTACAACCAACAATGTTGATTTTTTTTTCTCAATAAATCTAACATTTTGTTGAACTTTATTTGGCCCGAATAATGGTTATTTGGAAATAAGCCAAACCACTTCGGGACAATAATCCCGTATCGCCAAGTGGTACATGATTGACTACACAGCATTGCCAACTAGATTAGTATACATGATCTAAATTAATAAAGAATTTCAAACTGCGTACCGCCAATTTTTTGAGTAGTTCGTCATTAGTGTCATTTGCGTGTAGCGTGTTTAGTTTTAATTTGTCTATGGTATGTAGGCAGTGACTTAAGTGATAACATGAAATACAGTTACACATTGGTTCATAGGTTCGGAAGAAGGAAAAAAAAGTTCAGTTAACAAAGTTTTTATTCATAAAAAGGTTTATAACAAAGATTCTCTATTTTATACTATTAAAGCTCCTAATATTTAATTAATATCTAGGTGTCAAACAATACGATTCTAGAGATCTGTGGTTTAAATCTAGCTTATCTTGGCTTTACTTAGTTTAACTTGATTCACTGAACATTTTAATGCTATACTTTCATTAAAAATTTAGCAGCAATCTAGTTAAAAGGGGATAAATCTCTGTATTTCCATAAATAGATTCTAGTTGCTAGCCATTATTTAAGTACTATTTAAATAAATTACTAAAGATTGGAATTGGTCTTAAGGCACTAAATAGCTAATTTATTTTTCTGAAAAAGACTTTTGTTTATTAGATTTATTTTTAAAGAATTTGTAAATTAGATTCGCATTTGTATAAATATTAGATTAACTGCAATGTTTAGAAATATAATGACACAGTTCTTTGAAAACTCAATCATCGTTGGGTGAAAGATTCGCTTTGGAAGTAAGTCTTTCTGTATAAATTATTGCTGCTGCGGTTCCCGTGGGATACTTTTGATTTACCTATTTACTCGATAACTCTGCAACGGTTCAACACATCTTACTTAAATTTGGCACAGATACATAACATAGTCTACAATAACACATGATATGCTTTTCACATTTTTTAAATTCTGCTCACATGAAGTTGCAGGCTAAAGCAATTTTTGATTAATGTCTACATATAGACGTAATTTAGTTTGACATAGATTTTTATATCCATGATGACATATTATATGGACGATGGACATATTATTAGGAATAAACACTCAAAAATTAAGACGAGTTTTGATATAAAAGTAGCAATAAATAAGTTATTTGTATCAATAGACCGATTTTTTAGGTTATATAAATTAAAATTTCAAACAAAATTCACGTGAAGCTTGTAACACGCTTTCTTTCATATTAAAACAACTTACGTTAAACATTTCAAAAACTCGAATAAGTTCAGGTTAACTGCTTGTATGTGAAACTTTCCAGATATAAGTTGTTCAGAGCTCTCTTGGAACAGTTGCTCAAAGAGGCGAGAGGTTATGAAACTTTTTCCTGATATAAATTCTGCCAATTTGATGTCTACTTCTCTAACATTACGACTAGTGAATTGCGTGAATTGGACTACAATCTAACTATCGATTATTAGAGACAATGTTTTCTCGACACTTCAAAAAACCGTTTGCATTCTTTTTTTTAAATTGAGCCTTAAAGTAAACTTTTAAGTCGGGCTGCCTTCAAGTTAAACCTCCAACTATTATTAATGAAGACAATAAATTAATTTAAGTACGAAATTTTTTAATATTAAACACCAATTAATTACGTTATTCATCCCCAAGCAGGATTATCAAATACAAGCGATGTGAGGCTTGGCGTTATTACTAACGTTGGCGTTCTCGTAAACTGTTCCGGCGCAATCTCCCCAAAACATAAAGGCACAAAAATTTTAGTGTCCATAATTTTTAGGAATTCGAGTAAGGGTCGTATAAGGAAATGAGAAAAATGAGCAATGTTTTTAAGAGTTCTTGACCATCATTATTAATTTGTTCTTTTTTTATTTTTCTTCTTTATTTTATAAATAATTTTATTACTACTCTACATCCTAATGCCATAATTGTAATAATTATAATACTTTTTTCTAACTACATTCAATAATGATGGACGAAATTAAAAAAAATTGCCGTTGAGCCAAAACAATAAATATATTTAACAAATACCAGCATTTTTAAGTGGTTTTATTCATATCTATCAAACTTATATTTGTTAACGAAGAAAAATATAATATGATCCCTTGCTGAGTATTTTCATAATAATGAGTGAAGGGAGGCTATTGTTCAAGTGACGTCACTTTGTCCAAATTATAAAGGCATTGTTATCGAGCCATTGTTCGTCTCAACTATAACGTGTGAGAAGGGAAACGAAACTCTTCCTCTTCGCAATACCTTTTGTTTTAATTCCATTCACTTTGCAATCGCATCCATATTTCAGATTTACAGATAAATTTTTAAATGCATTGCGGAAATTTGAAATCCTTTTTTAATTTTCAAATTCAATTGGAAATTTCAATGTACTTTTTTAGATTCAATGCAGTGTAACATTAATTATTCGCTTTGTAGTGAGGATTTTATTTTGATATTTTAAAATACTAGATATAAATTGTTTATTTTACATTATTGATTATTGGTTTATTCTTATAAAGGCCTTAGTTTAAATCGCAATAATTAACGTTATATAATAAAAACAAATTAAATTTAATGTTTTTAATTATTATGAATTAATCTTAAAAATAAACGCAAAGAATGTTACATTTACTGAGAGCAAATTTTAAGTATAGAAAAAGAAAAGCCGTAACTACGTTTTTTAATTAAAATAACATAAGTGAAAATGCACGTTTTCAGCCATAAACATGTTAGGAGTGTGTTTAATACGTGCAACTTTGGCAGGCTTAACTTTCAAGTAAAACTGTTTATTTCAGTCGATGAAACTTAACCATTGCTTTCCAAGACTCATTTTTATTCGTAACATAACTACCAGCACCAGCTATCGTGAAGGATTGTAACAAGTTGACAGTATTTTTTTAAAATTTAAAACTGTAATACTCACCGTGGGTTTCTGAGACCAACACCGTTTAAAACATTGAGGTGACGAGTGTCGCCAAAGTGGGGGTGTGCGAATGATGAGGGGTGAGTGCGGCAACAGGTGAAATGAGGCTACCGTTACATTCACAATACAATTTATTCTCACACAGTCCACAAAAATAAGAAGGAGAGTATAACACTAAGAAGATAATTATAAGTGTTGCTATCACTGTTTTGTCATAGATAATGACATTTATAACGACATATTTTAAACAGAGATTTTGGTTTCAGAAACCCACCGTTAGTCATAATTTAACTGCAACTAGTTCATGGGACTGATACGTATCTAATTAGTATTTTTTCTGGAACCTAATGCTAGGCTTTAATTAAGTCTTAAAATTATTCATTTGTAAGTCAAAAGGCGATA